CAGTAGCTCAACAGGTAGTAAGTTGCCAGTGGATCCGAACTATCGGTAGCTCGATACAAACTACCGATAGACCGTTAAAAACTTGGAATTTTTATGTTTTAAAACTCTATTTTCACTCCATTTGCTCCCATTATTTCACCCCACTCTCACCCCAAATCTCTTAGAACCCTAATAGAAAGACTTAGAAAGGAAGAGAGAAAGGGAAAACAAGAGTTCTAAGGGTGATTCAAGATCAAATCTTTTTGTCCTTCACACCAAACCCAAGGAGAAAGGTAGGGGTTTTCTTCCATTCTTGTTCATTGAAGCTAGGGCTTATTTATATGTATTATTTTCACTTTAAATCTTATATATGCTATGAAGTCTTTATTTCTTGGTATCCTTGCAAAGACCACCATGTTTTAAGCAAAGTAATGTTGGATAACCATTAAATCTCTTTTCTTGGCATAAAACCCTAGTTTTCAAGATAAATGGATTTTTCTCTTGATTGTTCCTTCATTCTTGATTTTGAAATCCTAGTGCTTTGTGTTGAGTAATAAAATGATGTTGTGATGATCTCTTGCTTATTTTCTTAAATTGTTCTCTTGTGCTACAAATTGAGAAATTTGGAGATTTATGATTTACTTATGATTTGAGAATTTGGTTGGAATTGCATCCCTTGTATGGTTGTTGTGATGGACTTGAATTTCATTTGAGCACTGTTGTAGAGTGTTAGAGGTTAGTCTTTCCTAGTGGGGGTGAGATGGTTGCCTAACACTTGTAGTGGTTTGTTGTTTGTGAGAGCAACCACTATTGTTCATGTTGGTTCGAACTTAGGGATGGTATACTTTTCCTAGGAAGCATTCGTCAATGCCATGGGAGACGGTATATGCCCTTCCTAAAGTGGGTTGTGTGGTTACTATTGGGTGAATGAGGTAGATTCGTTGTGTAGATTCATGGAAAACAACCAACATACTAGAGAATATGTGATGATACTATTGAACGATTATGGTTATTGTTCATTATACCAGAAATAGTTTCTACAAGAATTTTGGGAAGTATAGGATTCCGCAAGAACTTGGGAGAAACGGTTTATGGTGAAATTGATTATTAGTTGTATATTGATTTCCTACAAGAGCTTGTGGATGTATGGGACTCTACAAGAACTTGTGAGAAATGGTTTATTGTTTGGAAATTTATTTTACTGTTCATTTAAATTATTGCGATTGTGTAAACTTGAGATCTATTGAAATGTTCCTGTTTTCTTTAAAAAATTAATATATGAGATTTGCAAAATAAGACCTACTTGTTTTACATGTTTTCTAAACCTTGTATAATTTTGGGAGAAATGTTGCTATAGAGCTTAGTGCTCACCCCATACAAACAATATATTTTTCAGATTACGTGTTAGATGAGGAGCTCGGAGTTGACGAGCAGGTACATTGGGAAGCTTCGCTAGATGGGCACGTGGATCCCTTGGTGGATGCTTAGGGTTATACTCTCCTAGGTNGTTAGCACACACGTGCACTATATGTTTGTTGGAATGATTGTTTAAATATTCATCCATACATAGTTGTGCAATTGGGTTTAAGATTTGGGATTGATGTGAGATTAATTACAGACTAATTAATTGAATATTAATTTAATCAATCATCATATGCAAAGTGGGTTATGGTGACTAATAGGGTTCTCACTTTAATTGAGATATCTTTCTGAGACGAGGCAATTGTGGCAATTTAGTTTTTTATTAGTAATCAATTGGGCTAAAATATAAAAATCTATTCACCCGTCTCTAGGTATAATGTCTATTGCTCCAAGTGTATAATCGCGAGGGAAGACTTAGATTGAATTTCCTCTCTTGGAACAACAATTAGTATCAGAGTGTGGTTGCCTTGAGTACATAGACACTAAGTTAGCATTTCTTATTTTTTTTCTTAATTTCCTACATTTCCTTCTAGAGATCTATCACCATTACTTGTTAATCTTGAATGTATTCCCCAAAAAAAGGTGATTTAATTAGACAACCAGCACTTTTTGATGGATTTAAATTNTAATCTTGAATGTATTCCCAAAAAAAAGGTGATTTAATTAGACAACCACCACTTTTTGATGGATTTAAATTTGCATATTGGAAAGCTCGCATGAGAGCATTTCTTAAATCCATTGATGAGAGAGTGTGGTTGACCATCCAAGAGGGTTGGAGTTCTCCCACTGTCACCACACAAGTCAAAGTGGTGAAGCGGTGGTTGAAGTAAAATTCCCATAGGTATGGACTTAAAACTAGAATGAGTCTACGGGGTGGAACTCAAAGGGCTTGAATACGATATTCAATTTCGTGACACCAAATGAATTCCAATGGATCTTAAATTATGAAACTTCAAAGGAAGAATGGGACATCTTTGTTGTTTCCCATGAAGAGACTTCCATGATGACGATGTCTAGACTCCAAAGGTACACCTCTTAGTTCGAGACTTTGAGGATGCAAGAAGATGAAACATTTAAAAAATTCTATGCTAAATTGTGTGATATTGTAAATTCATCATTTGGATTAGGTACAAGGTTGACAATGTGGCCATCAAGTGAAAAATCTTGAGATGTCTACATGAGAGGTTTCTTGCGAGGGTCACATCTTTGGAAAAAAGTGTCAACATGGAGTTGGTGTTGGTGGAAGACCAAGTTGGGTCTATATTGACCTTTGAGATTAACATTCCATCCTTAAAGCAAGCTAAGCCATTACCTTGAGCTCAAAAAATCAATAAGGAGGTAAATCTGGGTCACCCCAATTAGGAGAAGAGGATCTAACCTTGATTACAAAGAAGTTCAAAATATACTTCAAGGCTAGAAATGTGGAGTCCTCAAGGTCAAAAGGAAAGCCAAGTAGACCTACTCTTAAGCAAGGAAGGGATAAAAGGGGTTGAAAGAGAGGGATAAGGCTTTCACTGCTTTGAATGTCAAGTATTTGGACCTATTGCATCAGAATACCCCAATAGAAAGAAGAGAGATTCACCCAAAGACAAGAAGAGATCTATGAAGGCCACATGGACTGATAATGAAAATGAGTTAAACTTGAGTGTTGACTCCTTTGCGATCTCTGTAGGTTCACACTCCTCTCCCCTAGAAATATTTCAACAAGTGAAGTTGAAACAAGTCCTACCATGAAGGTAGATGACGTGGACAAGGAAACCCCATGTATGGAGGATGAATATTATTATAAGGATATACAAGATATAAATGATCAATTATATGTGCAATTCCTCAAGCAACAAGAGAAGGTGCTCTCCCTGAGTGGTCGGATTAACTCAAGTGAAGAAGAGACAAGAGTACTTCAAGTAAAGTTGGTGAAATCCAAGGCCCAAATATGTGGCCTAGAGGATGAGAAGAAGTCTCTCCTCGACCGAATGTGCTTTCTTGAGAGAGCTTGTTTAGACAAAGAGAATCTTAAGTGAAACTGTGCCAAATTTGACAAAGATCTTCATGAATCAAATGAAATCTCTAAGAGACTTTCCCAATGTAATGAAATTTTTGATCAAATGTTGTCTATGGGAAATAGTGTAGGTGATAAACGTGGTTTAGGCTTCAATAATGAATAAACCAACACTTTTTCCAAGATCGTGTTTGTGAAGGGTATCACCAACCCACCCCTATAAGTAGGCACAAGCTCTAAAGTTACTAATAGTGGTAAGGGTAAGAATTCAAAAAAAGAAAGTTTTTAAAGAAATCCATGTAGAGAACTTAGTTATCATAGTAATCACTGCATGAAAAATATAGATGTCTTGAATAAGAAGTTCATGCATCTAGCACACCAATCTAAGATTTTAAATAATCAAGTGTTAAATTTTTCTAAGCTTTTAGAGAGATCATGTGAGTCCAAACATAGTCATGCATCATCTTCACATGGTCCACATGATAGAGTGCCAAAAATTTCTTCTACCCCCAAGATCAAAATTGATTTACATACTTTCGGGGAGAATAGAGCTAGCTTTGTACCCATTCCTTGACCTAACACAAATTTTAGGAAGGGAAAACAAGTTTGGGTGACTAGGGAGGACTTTGAGAAACTCACCATATTAACCAAGTTAGAGGCTCCAAGTGCTTCTAGCAAGGTCATGGCTCCTAAGAAATAAGATAGGTGAGATATTATGAACCTAGGTGATCTCACATACATTGCATCAAACACCTTAGGGTCATACTTTATTTGTACATATTTTGTTCCTTTTCTTGGTTTATAAATACAAAACCGTTTGAAATTTGAAAAAACAAAAGAAAAAAAGTAGTAAAATCCAAAAAGAGTTCTGATGTCAAATTTGACATTCATTTTTAGGATTTATGGTAGAAGCTTTATTTTTCTTTTCCTTGTTTTGATGCATCTTCATGCAGATTTTTTTTCTTGTATATGTTTATCTTGAAAAATTCAAAAATATTGGAAAAGAAAATTTCAAAAATACTTTCTTTTGTTTTTTTTCTTTGTTTCATGATCATGATAATTCACACTTTAGTTTCCATTGAAATTATTTCATCCTTGAATCAAAGTTGAAACGTGTATTGCTATGAGTCATACTAGGGGATAGAGAACTTAGTGACACATTTCTTAGTACATGATTCATTTGTCAAAGTCACCTTTATCCTAGCGTACTTGTATAGTGTTTACCTTTAAAAAATCCATAAACCAAATACACGCATACCATTCACCTTCACACTTAAGAGTTTTATTAGTTTGAGTTATTAATGATCTTAAATGACTCTAAGTGTTGGTGATAGGCGAACAAATGGCTAAATGTTAGGTAAAACTCAATCCCTTAAAACATGCCGAAGGCCAATTATGAGAAGAAAAAAAATCCGATGTGGCTAACCCTAAAAAGGTGAGGCATAAATAAATGGTTGAAAACAATTACACTTGAATTGTAATAGTACTTATGCTTAATTATAAATTGCTTATTTATAAAGCTCATAGAGCTTATGTTAACCATGATTAAAAGCATACATTAAAGGTATGAAATTTATAATAATATTGATTGAAGCCATAGAGTAGAAGAGATAAAAGAAAGGGAGAGTTATCAAAAAGAGAATAATTAGGACACTCTCACTAACAGGTCATGTATATGCATTAGAATTTCATGATGAACTTATTAATGATTAAATCTAATCAGAATCCTTTATGTGTTGGAGTTTAGTTTCACACACAATGCACTTGAATTTATCAAAGTTGAACAAAATTTGAAAACAAGCGAGTGAAATTGAACTAAGTGAGGAAATATTGCTCTAGGATGCATGAGATTGAGTTTTATATCTTTTGGATGGAGCTATTAAAATGCAAATTTGTGTAATTTTCATGATTGTGAACTTTGAGGATTTATTGTTTAAATTTGAAAATTACATTTATTTTTTATCCAAATTAATCCATGCATTGCATTGAATTGCATTTAGGTTATATACACACCACACATGGATTTGAGGCTTGAAGGATAGGTGGGATGAGTGAATGCCAGGACCGAATTGGTCCGACGAGGATCTACTACTGTTTTGTTAGCTTCAGAGAGCGCTCAATTGGCCTTCTTACAACTTGAGCAGCTAGGGTTAGAAAATCGAGTTTTAAAAGGTCTTTTAGTATTCTAAACCTTCTCAATCATGTCCCAAGCCCCCAAAACCCCTAACCCTTGATTCTAAAGCACTCCCAAACACTTTCTCTAGAAATCTTAGGTTGATTCTTCACTTGTATCAAAATCCACAAGAGTAAGACCTAGATTTAGAGTGTGATTGTCAAGATGGCCACAAGAAGATAAAAAAGGCCAAGGGTTGAGGATGTTTATTAGAAAATCAATGAGAACTTGGAATGAAGCTACTCGATTCATGACACCGGAATTTGCAAAAAGATTCAAACAAGAATTCTCACATAGGCCAATGTTGATCGAACAGGGAATAACCGCCGCAACGGTAACTCGTTCTATTGTTACTAATTTGATAAACCATGGTTAGACTTAGATGTTCAATGAACTCGTGACATCGAATTATAGAATTGTGAGGCAATTCTATGCTCACATTCAGATTAATGAACCTGATCGTCATATTGACCACTTTGTTACCTATATCGGAGGTATCAAGTTCACTTTTTTTTAGAGCTCATTGCTACCACACTAGATCCACCTTGGTTTAAGAATGATTACCTTAGTGAAAGACCAATTGACCTATTGCCTTCTCTCCATGTAGTTACTACTAAGCTGTATAGCATTGATCATCTTGAATATTGGGTTACATAAAAATTCTTTCAAAAATCATGGACCTCAGAGCACATGATGCTTAATCTCGTAGTAAACTACACTATTGAGCCAAATACCCATAGTTCTAACTTCCCTATTCCTAAACCTTGAACGCTTTATACCGTAGGTAAAGGGTTTGGTCTTATCAGCCTAGGTTGATTTTTGGGTATATTCGTAGAACATGTTTAGAGGAATGAGTATTAGATCTATTGCCTTTTAGATCTTTGATTACTTGTATTTGAAAAAGGAAGGGTGTTTTAGTTCTCTAGTGACCAGTTGTAGAACCGCATGTGGTCTTTGAACAAGAGTTCAATGAAGTTGAGTAAACCCAGGTTGACTACGTTGAGGAGAGGGAAGAAGTAGTAGAAATGCCACCAGTGAATCCTGAGACTAGCACGTCTAGGACACCACCACCTGAGTCAGTTTCAGATATCCTTGTAGCCCAGATGGCATCACTCGTTGACCTGATGACCAGGGTTAAGCGCACCATGGTTGAGCATCATTGCCTTACTTTTCAGCGGTTGGATGCACTAGATGGCAAGATCATGAGCTTGGAGGAGATTCAGAAGACTATGACGGGATCAGTTATACTTAAGAGTTGGGTGACTTAGGAGGTTGCTAAAGGGTATGCAAATTGCAAGCAAGCTAGTGCTAGATGACATATTTAGATTTAGAACTGCCCGGATGCGATAGAGGAGATGGTGCAGATGCAACCATTTGAGTTGTGGCTTTTAGACACTTAGTATAAGTCATATGTCAGCTTAGGAGTGTTTGGTTATTTATTCATGGCTCATACTAAAGTACTCTTTATTTTTTTTGTTGATTTTTTATTTGTTTAGCTCATTTTGGTTTGTTGTGACATACTATTGGTCCAATTCTTGATTGTTTATCATATATAACATTGAGTTATATGCCTCATTTGTCCTTTGCTTAGTTTGCTTGCACAATTTGGCTAGTTGAAGTGCATTCATACCTTCTTGTTACTCTATGATTCTATGTCATGATTGTTATAAGTCGTAATTGAATTGAAATTTATAGCAAATAAAATAAGGATATGTTGGGTAACATGATTCTGTACCATGAATGTTGCATTTTTTCATTGGGTTGACAATTGTGATGAAAGGGGGAGAATATTATAGATACATTGGAGAGGAATCATGGAGATTTACTCTTGACTAGTCTAGATATGTTGCACGTGAACATAGAAAGGGGGAGTTTGTTAAAAAACTTAGGGGGAGTAAATTTGCAAACTTGACATAAAGTCATATATATTTTTTATTTTTTTTTACTTGTTAGTTTACTTGTGAACATCAACTAAGGGGGAGAACTTGATGTGTTTCTGATTGATAGATCAATAAGTTCTCGAGCATATTGGGTAATGATTCACACTTTTTTCGTGATCGGATTAATATTATACACCCAAATATAAGTGGTCAAATTATAGTTTTTTCGGTTTTAAGTCCAAGTATCGATCCCACGAAGAGTGTGTGTAATTAGGAAATAAAATAAAAATAGTAAAGTTGTTTATCTTGGATAGGACAACATGTGATAGCTTGTGATGTGAGCTTAGATTGATAACTAGTTTAATTATGTTGCAAATAGATTTAGACAATAATAAAAAATATCCTTCAGTTTAAGGATCTCATATTCGTTTAAATACTAGAAATGCTACCTTAAAGCAATCAACTTCCATGTTACTAGCAAGTCAACTGGTAGGTCTTATGTATTTAAACTCTCACACAACAACTTCTTAGATTAGCTGGTGGTATCCATGACAATTGATTAATCCAAGCAAACCAGAAGGACAAGTCATTCATGAGGAATACTTGAATTATTCATTTGTATTCATAATAGTAAGTGCATACATAATAAACCATAGCATATCCACTTCTTAGGTTAACTGGTGGTATTAGTCATAACACAACAACTTCTTAGGTTAGCTGGTTATAGATATGTCAATTGACTAATCCAAGCAAACCAGAAGGTCAAGTCATTCATGAGGAATACTTAAATTATTCATTTGACTCTATCTGTGATACATATACCAGTTAAACATTCTCAACGTTCCGGTGGAGGATAGACCATGCTGATAGGAATGTCGTGGTTGTTAGACTGATAATATTATCATTTATACCAGTTAAACGATCTGAGTAATCCAGAAGGACAACCCATTCATGAGGATCACTTAAATC